ATCACTTGCACATGGTATCCTACCTCGTTAGATCAAATAAACTTTTCAAAAGTAAAACCAAAAATCACGCTCCAAATCTTTTACTTCCTACTGCCGCTGCTGTAAACGTCCCCTTTTTTTTCTACAGAAGGAGAACTGCTTTATGCTTTAGAAAAGTATGAGACAATTCTCTAACTTTTGTAGAGTATTTAAATAAAAAAAAAAAGAGTCCTGATGCGACTAGGAGTAAAGCCGTGCTATGCAAGGAATAGGATAATAATGACTTCACAAAATTGGGATAAGAATTGGAGTTTGAAATATTATCAAGTACATGTTTTATGGTCAAACAATAAAACAAATCTAAGTAGTTTGACTGAAGAATTTTTCACCCTATATACTATAATATCACCATGCAATTTATATACACGTGTAGGCAGGAAAACTGATTTGGTTAGGATGGTTTTAATTCAATAAACAATCTTGATAGGATAGAATAAAGATTTGCTATATCTTGTAACACGTGCACACCAATTTGAAGGTAGTTGGTTTGTTACAATGGACTTTTCAAATGAAAAATAGATTTGGGATAAGATTAAATCTTAAAATAATATCTCTAATGGTGGAAACAGAATTTTAACTAAGATTTTTAAACGTGATAAAATATTCTATCTTTTACTAATTATCTTAAAAAGTACATTATTAAAAAAAATTATTACATACGTTTCTTTGAATTTATTTATTCCCAGTTAAATCATCACTATCGATGCATGCACATACTAGGATAAGTTGGAATCCTAATTGCATTAGATATATGGCTTAATTTATTTTAATACAACAACCAATTTAAATGACTAATAAAACTCTTATTTAATTTCCACAAAAATTGTATTTATTTTCTATTATCAAACCGAGAGCAAAAGTGGACAGATTTAATAGAATTTGATTATAGTAGGAAATCACATAAATTCTCGTTTAATTGTGGTTGACTCCAAATCCTAAATTTAACAAACTAATAAGGGAAATCATATTGGAGTTTTAATTAAATATCAATTAGCCTTTAATCCTAATCAAAAGCAAGGAAGTTACACGTGGCTACCTATTATTAAAAATACTATTACTTACCAACTCAATTAATAACAAAGCTTACATCTTTAAAACTACATTATCTTGGCAATAACTTATCCAAATTAACTTTTTCTCGAGCCTAAAATGCATAATTAATTACAAGCTTTCCAACGAGTACAATATTGATATACTTACATTCACTCTACCAAAATTCAATTATTTGACCCAAAATAAGATATGAATTCAAAAACCTATTTTATCTTGGTCCTTATTATTATTTTTTTTTATAACAATATAACAAATAATATAATTAAGTTTTATTCTAATATTTTCGAGATGTTACACAATGTGTCAAAAACAAGTGTACAAATTACAATGTTCAATCGGTAAGGACCTTGCTACATGTACACTATGGTGTACACTTTAGTTTAAACTTTTCCACGTGACATCAGCCAGTTGGACAGTTTAAATTTCAAATAGTTTTCCCATCCAATTTACACTTGACAACAATGCAAGTGTCAAACAATGTGTCAAAAATCGGTGTACAAATAGGAAAGTTCAATCGGTAAGAACCCTGCTACATGTATACTATGGTGTACACTTTAGTTTACACTTTGCCATGTGACAATACCCTACTGGACAGTTTAAATTTCAAACAGTTTTCCCATCCAATTGACACTTCACAACAGTGTAAGTGCCAAACAACGTGTCAAAAATTAGTGTACAAATAACAATGTTCAATACGTAAGGACCTTGCTATATGTACACTATGGTGTACACTTTAGTTTACACTTTGCCACGTGACATTACCCTGTTAGACAATATAAATTTCAAACAATTTTTCTATCCATTTGACACTTAACAACAATGCAAGTGGGAAACAACATGTCGAAAATTAGTGTACAAATAACAAAGTTCAATAGGTAAAGACCTTGCTACATGTATACTATGGTGTACACTTTTGTTTACACTTTACCACGTGACATTACCCTGTTAGTCAATATAAATTTCAAACAATTTTCCCATCCATTTGACACTTGATAACAATGCAAGTGTGAAACAACGTGTTGAAAATCAGTGTACAAATAGCAAAGTTCAATCGGTAAGGACCTTGCTACATGTACACTGTGGTGTACACTTTAGTTTACACTTTTTCTTGTGACATTACCCTGTTGAATAGTTTAAATTTGAAATAGTTTTCCCATCCAATTCACACTTGACAATAATACAAGTGTGAAAAAGCATGTCAAAAATCAGTGTACAAATAGCAACGTTCAATCGGTAAGAAAATTGCTACATGTACACTGTGGTGTACACTTTTGCTTACACTTTGCCACGTGATATTACCCTATTCGATAGTTTAAATTTCAAATAGTTTTCCCATCTACTTCACACATGACAACAATGCAAGTGTCAAACACCGTGTCAAAAATCCGTGTACAAATAGCAAAGTTCAATCGGTAAGAACCTTACTACATGTACACTGTGGTTTACACTTTAGTTTACACTTTGCCACGTGATACTACCCTATTGGACAGTTTAAATTTCAAACAATTTTCCCATCCACTCCACACTTGACAACAATGCAAGTGTCAAACAACATGTCAAAAATCTGTGTACAAATAGGAAAGTTCAATCGGTAAGGTTCTTGCTGCATGTACACTATGATGTTCACTTTAGTTTACACTTTGTCACGTGATATTAACCTGTTGGACAGTTTAAATTTCAAACAGTTTTTCGTTCCAATTGTCTCTTGACAAAAATGCAAGTCTCAAATAACGTGTTAAAAATCAGTGTACAAATACCAATGTTCAATCAGAAAGGACTTTGCAACATATACACTATAATGTACATTTTAGTTTTCACTTTGCCACGTGACATTAGCCTTTTAGAAAGTATAAATTTCAAACAGTTTTGCCATCCAACTGACACTTGTCAATAATGCAAGTGTCAAACAACGTGTCAAAAATCAGCGTACAAATAGCAAAGCTCAAATAGTTTTCCCATCCAACTGACACATGACAACAATGCAAGTGTCAAACAACGTGTCAAAAATCAGTGTACAAATAGCAAAGTTCAGTCGGTAAGAACGTTGCTACATGCACACTACAGTGTACACTTTAGTAACACTTTGCCATGTGACATTACCCTGTTGAACATTATAAATTTCAAACAGTTTTCCCATCCAATTGACACTTGACAACAATACATGTGACAAACAACGTGTCAAAAATCAGTGTACAAATAGCAAAGTTCAAATAGTTTTCCCATCCAATTGACACTTGACAACAATGCAAGTGTCAAACAACATGTCAAAAAATCAGTGTACAAATAGCAAAGTTCAATCGGTAAGAACCTTGCTACATGTACACTATGAAGTACACTTTAGTTTACACTTTACCACGTGACATTATCCTCTTGGAAAATTTAAATTTCAAACTATTTCCCCATTCAATTGACACTTGACAACAATGTAAGTGTCAAACAACTTATCAAAAATCAATGTACAAATAGCAATGTTTAATCGGTAAGGACCTTGCTACAAATACACTATGGCGTACACTTTAATTTACACTTTACCACGTGACATTAACTTGTTGGACAGTTTAAATTTCAAACAGTTTTACCTTCCGATTGACACTTGACAACAATACAAGTGTCAAACAACGTGTCAAAAATCAGTGTACAAATACCAATGTTCAATCGGAAAGGACCTTGCAACATGTACACTATGGTGTAAACTTTAATTTTTAATTTGCCACGTGACATCACCCTATTAGACAGTATAAATTTCAAACAATTTTCCCATTCAATTGACACTTGACAACAATGTAAGTGTCAAACAACTTTTCAAAAATCAGTGTACAAATAGCAATGTTTAATACGTAAGGACCTTGCTACAAATACACTATAGTGTACACTTTAGTTTACACTTTGCCATGTGAAATTAACTTGTTGGACAGTTTAAATTTCAAATGGTTTTACCTTCCAATTGACACTTGACAATAATGCAAGTGTCAAACAACGTGTCAAAAATTAGTGTACAAATTCCAATGTTCAATCGGAAAGGACCTTGTAACATGTACACTATGGTGTAAATTTCAAACAATTGTCTCATCCAATTGACATTTGACTACAATGCAAGGGACAAACAGCGTGTCAAAAATTAGTGTACAAATAGCAAAGTTCAATCGGTAAGAACCTTGCTCAATGTACACTATCGTGTACACTTTAGTTTACACTTAGCTACATGACATTACCCTGTTGGCCAGTTTAAATTTCAAACACATTTCCCACCCACTTCACACTTGACAATAATGCAAGTGTCAAACAACGTGTCAAAAATTAGTGCACAAATAGCGAAGTTCAATCGGTAAGGACCTTGCTACAAGTACACTATGGTGTACACTTTAGTTTACACTTTGCCATGTGACATTACCCTGTTGGACAATTTAAATTTCAAAAGGTTTTCCCATCCAATTCACACTTGATAACAATCCAAGTGTCAAACAACGTGTCAAAAATCAATGTACAAATAGCAATGTTAAATTGGTAAGAACCTTTCTACATGTATACTGTGGCGTACAATTTAGTTTACACTTTGCCATGTGACATGACCCTGTTGGATAGTTTAAATTTTAAATAGTTTTCCCATCTTATTCACACTTGACAACAATGCAAGTGTCAAACAACGTATCAAAAATCAATATACAAATAACAAAGTTCAATCAGTAAGAACCTTGCTACATGTACATCTGGTATACACTTTAGTTTACACTTTGCCACGTGACATTACCCTTTAGGATAGTTTAAATTTCAAACACTTTCCCCATCCTATTGACACTTGACAACAATGTATGTGTCAACTAACGTGTCAAAAATCAGTGTACAAATAGCAATGTTCAATCGGTAAGGAGCTTGCTACATGTACACTATGGTGTACACATTAGTTTACACTTTGTCACGTGACATTACCTTGTTGGACAATTTTAATTTCACACTGTTTTCCCATCCAATTGACACTTGACAACAATGCATGTGTCAAACAATGTGTTAAAAATCAGTTTA